TAAAGCACATACTGTATGTCCTGCAACCACAGAGGCTTCTCCCTGTCCCTAATGCCACAGTGCCAAGCCAAGCATGGTGGCACACGCCTATAATCCCAGCTACTCGGGAGGCTCAGGCAAGAGGATCACAAGTTCAAGCCCAGCCTAGGCAATTTAGTGAGACCCTGTCTCAAAATGAAAAATGAAAAATGTCTAGAGATGTAGCAAATGTCCCAGTACAAAAAAAAAAAAAAGTCACATGCAATGGCAGGTGCCTATAGTCCCAGCTACACAGAAGGCTAAGGCAAGAAGATTGCTAAGCCTAGGAGTTCAAGACCAACCTAAGCAAAATAGCAAGACCCTATCTCAAAAAAAGAAAACAAAATTTAGATCAATAGTTAGCTAAAACACCCAGGAGCCTAGCATTCTACCTGAAGGAAAGAGAGAAGACACTTTAGGTCATGAGGAAAGGACTGAGGCTCCTGAGAGTGAGAGCTGGAATGAAGGGCAAGGAATGCTGCTTACTTTGCAGCTCTGCTCAGGACAGCACTGGGGGCTCCACTGATATGGCACAAGCCTGAGGACAGGCAAGCAAAGGTCACTGGGTTTCCTGACAGGAGAGGAAATGAAGCAGATCCAAAAGGAAGCTTCTTTGGGGCAGTGCAGCAACATTCTGAAGATAGGTAAGAACCAGGAAAGCAGAACAAGACTAGTAGGCTAGTAGAAATCGGGTCAGAGTCTGAAAACTGACCGTATGAAGATTCTAGTGATTTTTCTTTTTCTTTTTTTTTTCGATTTTTCTTTTGTTGAGACAGGGTCTCATTATGCAGTTCAGGCTGGTCTTGAACTCACTATGTAGCCCAGGCTGGCCTGGAACTGGTGGCGATCCTCCTGCCTCAGCCTCTCGAGTGCTAGGGATTACAGGCATGTGCCACCACACCTGGCTTGATTCTAGGGTTGAGAAGATTGACTTTATTCTTATCTGTTTTTCTCCACTATACTATATTCCTGAGAGACAGGGCAGAGGACTGAGTAGAACTTGGTCCATAAGGCTTCACAATGTCCTGAGGTAGGATACAATCTTAGAAGTGAGTATCAGCAGAGAAACTCTAGTCTTAGGAGCAGCTTAGCAGGAAAATGTCAAAGCACACACGTGAATCAGAGGACAGATGTCCAAAGGTTTAGCTCTCTGAACACATTAGGAGTCTGGTTGCCAGGCTCAGAATATGACAGTAGCTGGGAGAACTTGCAAAGAGTCTTAACTTGTTGCTGGTCATCTGAGCAATCAAATTAAGACTAGTATTTTTTTTTATTTACCTAGCCTTGGCACATACCAATAAACAGTAATTCAATAAACATTTTCTGAATGAAAGAGGGAATGAAGTAACTAGAGAAAAAAATAAAATCTGAGTAATGATATGCTTGGTGTCACCACTTGAGATTAGAGTGGAGACTAGAGAAAGTAAACACAACTGTGGCATGTAAAGGGACAAAGGTGGGGAATGTATGACATTAAGGTGCCTCAACAGCCACTAAAAGCATTTCAGGGCTGCCTGTATTACCAATATCTGAACTCAGATGTCAGGTCCAGACCAGCAAACTGAGCCTTCCCCAGGTCAACCCTGACTGACCTAAGCTTCTCTCAGTCCTCTGAAAACTCTCTCAAAGAAAAGAGAGAAAAATAAAAATGAAGAGGTTCATTTTTCAACATTCACCTCTCCCTTAACTGTCCATCTTTATTAATCCAGTTGGACACTTAGAAATTTCTATACTCTTAAGAACCTCAAGAATTTTTCCTTAGGAATGCTAAAGACTTCTGTTGATTGCTTTAAAATAGAGGAATGTAGTAAGCAGATACATATTAAAGAACTAAATGTGTAATAACAATGATCCCTGGCGTAAGGAAGTCCCAAGATCATAGATGATGTCCAGCACAGTGGCACATGCCTGTAATCCCAGCACTTGGGAAGATGAGGCAGGAAGATCACTGAAGTTTGAAGACATCCTGAGCTACGTAGTGAGTTCAAGGCCAGCCTGACACAAAGTGAGACCTTGTCCAAAAAAAAAGATCCTAGATGAGGATGAGAAGAATTCACATATATTTGATGGGATCAGCTGCCTACAGAAGCCTCTTCCACAAAATAAATTGTCTCAGCAGTTCCCAAGAATGCCCATACATATATAGTTGTAGACATGACTAAATTTTATTATAGTAAAAGGCCATCAGCAAGGGAAAAAGACACAGGTATTATATGGAGAAACCACTGCATATGCCTCATTATGTTTTCTCTGTCTTGTGAGGATAAACACCAACTTGTTCCTTGCTGCAATAGCAAAAAATGCAATCATATATGTGCAATGTTTGCACCCAGAGAAGTCCAGTGAAGACTCAGCATCCAAGGTTTTTATTGAAGGCTAGTCACATAGTCACCATCTGCCTAGCAAATACCAAAATTTCCAGTTCCCAGCCAGGTGTGGTGACATGGCTCTAATCCTAGCATCCTGGAGGCTGAGGCAAGAGGATCAAGAGTTCAAGGCCAGGGTCGGTGATTTAGCTCAGTGGTTCCACCACGCCCCCTGCCTGGCAAGCGCATGGTCCTGAGTTCAATCCCCTGTACCAAAAAAAAAAAAAAAGCTACCCTACACTACATAGTGAGACCCTGGCTCAAACAAACAAATCCAAATTTCCAGAAGGAAAGCACATGTCTGACATAAATCATATGGTTTATACAAAGAGTCTAGGCCCAGTGAACCACCCTTATCAGAGAATGAAGGGAACACCTTTAAGTGCTAAATTCCCAGATCACAGCCAAAGGCCAAACTTGCAAGCCGGCTCCTGTAAAGACAGCCACTTCAGATCTGCTCCGTTAACTCTTCAGCAGAGAGCACTTCCCAAAGTAAGTGGAGTAGTGTTAATTGTAAAATATATTATAGTCTTGACAAACGTACCCTCTATTACTGAGCCATACCTTGAGCCCCCATAATACATCTGTACTGAAGGCAGAAGGCAAGGTGAGCTCAAAGTGCACTTTAAGAGTGGGAAAGGCAGGCCGGAGATTTAGCCCAGTGGTTCCATCACCTGCCTCGAGAGCACAAGGACCTGAGTTCGATCTCCGGTACCAAAAAAAAAAGGAGTGGGAAAGGCTTCCATAGTTAGTTATAGGACCATCACATTAAAGATCATCCATTTCCCTGAACCCTTTTGTCTTTTCTCCCTGAATCCAACAATCAAATTTCTGATAGGCTTGTTGGTCCTCCTACCACGAAGAGAATGTACTTAGTAGCTGGCATGAGTTTAATTTAATAAACTAGCACTTGGTCCATAATACATAGGCTCATCCAAGGACACTAGTGATCTTTCATTAGATACCAATAGACCCGCCTTTATTCATGTCATTTTGTTAAACTTCACTACATTCCTATTAAGCACTTGCTAAAAAAAAAAGGCAAAATCAGAGGATCAGAGTGGGAAACTGACCTTCCCAGATGGTTCTATCATCCAAATTCACGTTCTCTCAGTTCTATTGTACTTTTTTTTGGAGGGAGGGGGGTGGGAGTTGTACCCAGACACCACTGAGCTCCATCACCAGCCCTCTTCTTTTTTCATTTTGAGACAAGGTCTCACTAAATTGCCCAGACTGGGCTTGAGCTTGTAACCCTCCTGGCTCAGCCTCTGAAGCCATTGCAATATGAACTTTTCTTAAAAGAGATGATGTCTTGCTCTGTTGCCCAGGTTGGCCCTGAATTCCTGGCCTCATACTACCTTCCTGCTTGGGCTTTCTGAGTAGCTGGAACTACAGGCACATGCCACCATGTCCCTCATATACTCTGTTTAACTAGGAATCAGGCTGGCATCAGTCTCCCAGGACCTGCTCATCATGAGGTAAGTAATAAAATCACACCTGAGAATCTACCAAGTCAAGGAGTAGGTCATTCTGTCCAAATAGGTAAAATAGCCTTTCAGCTTTATCCATCACCAGAGCCACAAAACCACACCCAACTCCACCAGGTAGGTCTGCAATTATCATTGCTCTTATCCTGTCAGAAAACGTCCTCTTTTCATGAGGGAAAAAAAGTTGAGAAGACAAACAATCTAACCCCTTCAGTGCTAACACTATGCTGAGTTTTCATCACACAAGCTGGTGGGCGAAGAAAGCTGACTTCACTCTTCACCCACTCTTGCCTAGCACTCAGCGAAGCATTTTATACTTAAACTCATTTACTCCTCAAGGATAACCACACTTTACAGACAAGGAAACCGAGGCTCGGAGAATTGAAGTAACTTGCCTAAGAGGATGTACAGCAAGTGACAGAGCAGGTACCAAAATCTGAGTTCTTTCCACCATACCAGGCACACCTTTGAGTTACCTTTCATCTCTCTCCCAAGATAAGAATTCCTCCTGCAGGAGTTTTCTCTTCTGAAGCAACCCCAGCTCAGTTCTGCCCACAGTTCCATCCCTGCCATTATCCCTTCTCCAAACACACAATCTTTTACCAAGTCTAATGCCCTCAAACTTGTAGATAATGCACAGTCGGTTTACAATCCAGAAAGCACTTTCAAACACAGTGATTCATCTGCCCTCCACCACAATGGGGCGAAGAGGACAAAGCACGTAACGTAAAAGCACCATTTCACAGGACGTCTCCCCAAGGCCAAGGAGTAAAAGCCAGGAGGAATCAAGACCAGAGGCCCAGGTTCGAAGCAGAGATCCTTGGCTCGTCTCGCTACTCCAAAGTGGCGTCCACGTTTCAGTCACTGCGCCAGCATTGTCACAAGACGCCGCCCCACACCCACCTATCCGCAGCGTCCCCGCCCACCCCGCTTACCCCTCAGAGGTCGGCCACTCTCTTCACCACCCGTGCCCCCACGGACCACCACATCTCCCCAAACCCTCCCCTGAAGGGCCTCCTCTCTGGCCGCGACCCCGGCCTCGGCGTTTCTCAATCCCTCGCCCCGCCTTCCCGCTCCTTCGCGCCAGGCCCCGCCTCCTGTCAGCCGTGGCCGACCCCGCCCGAGTTACCTTCTCCAAGGATGCCGGCCTTTGCACGGCCAACGAGCGGGCCAGTGACAGGACTGTATTGAAATAGAAACCCCGAGAGACGCTGAAGCCGGAGCCGGAGCCGGAGCTGGAGCCGGAGCCGGAGCCGGAGCCGGAGCAGCCTCCCCGGACCCCAGCCGCCGCCGCCATTATCGCACGCCCAGCGCCTTAGCCCACCGGCTCACCGCACCCGGCCCGCGAGCGCCAGACCTCAGGGAGCAGGCGCAGTCGCAGTCGCAGTCGCAGTCGCATCCTGCTTCCCCGCCACGTGACCTGCCTATTGCCAACACTGGGTGGGGCGTGGCCTCAGGGGCGGTCCCACAGCAGCAGGGGGGAAGAGGTGCCGAGACGCGGGCCTCCATTTTAAACTCCCGACGTGCCTCACCCTCAGTTGCCATCTACTATGGTTGGCCCCAGAGGCGGGGCTGTGACGTAATAAGCGCGGAAGGAGTCTCTCGGAGCTCCAGAGTAGGCAAACGGGGTGTGGCACTGGCGGTTGGGGCGACTGATCTCTGTCCTGGTTTTCTGACCCTGACTGCCGCCAGCGACATGTCTGCATATCCAAGAAGCTACAACCCTTTCGACGACGATGCGGAGGACGAAGATACACGGCCAGCACCGTGGAAAGACGCCCGTGATCCCCCCGACGGGCCCGCCACCTACGCAGACAGACAGCAATACCTGCGGCAGGAGGTGCTGCGCAGGGCCGAGGCCACGGCCGCCAGCACCAGCCGGTCTCTGTCCCTCATGTACGAGTCCGAGAAGGTCGGGGTCGCCTCTTCTGAGGTGAGCCTGGGGCACGACGAAGCTGAACTGGTCAAACGCGGTCGAAAATATTTTTTCACAATCTTTTGAGAACACTCAAATTGCCTACTAGTAGGGTCTTATATTTAGTGACTTGATGGTTTGTAATAATCTCTTAATCATGTAAAGAGATGTGTTTCTGGAGTATCGAAAGGGACAGTTTACCTCGGAAATCTTTCTTATGTATTACTCTGCTTAGTTTTTTTCCCCCTGTATATATCTAGTTCAAACATCAGGGCCTGTTTTTTCTACATAGTTTCTTTGGTAGAGATGGTTTAGACCGTTCTTCTGGAGTGACCCAGAAAGAGTGGGGACTGTGTGCTGCAGGTGTCAGGAGATGAATGGGCTTGAATTCTTCCTCATCTTTCACTTCTCCACAGCACAGTAGGGGTATTGAAGTCCCCTCTAAGTGCCTGCTGAATAAACCAAACCCTGAATTTGGTTGACACTAGGGCCTCACCCTTATTTCCCAAATCCTACACAGACAGCATGTGGGTTGTGACAGTCTCTTGCTCCAGTTCATCTTTGTCAAGTCTTTCCATCCATAGATTTTAGGTTAGGACTTTCAGTGAGGATTATTCTTACACACCACATTCCCTCCTCAGCCTACTAATGAAACAGTTTTGACTGGGCAGAAAGGAAAAAAAAAGTTGTTTTGATTTTTCAACAGGGTTTCATTGCATAGCCCAGACTGTCCTTAAATCAGAGATTTTCTCCTCCTTCAGCCTCCAAAGTGCTGGGACTATAGGCATGTGCCACCCTACCCAGTTTGGGGGGAAAAACCAAAAAGGCTTAGCAAATGTAAGAGATTACTGATATATTAGCTAAGAATAATTTTAAGTATTTTGACATGTAATGCTTGAAATTAAAGTGTTGTCTTCCTTCTTAGGTCTCTTCATAACTCTTTTCTGACAGAGTTCATTCTCATCGGATCACTCAGGGTGTTGGACAGGTGTGAGTGCATAGATTAATTTCTCAAGTAGTCATCTATGTCATTTCCCCATTGCTGCTTTCTGAGGTTATTCCTTTCCTCATTTCTCTCTGATAATATTATCCCTTGTTGATCTATTTTCCTGTCTTTAGTCTTCTTGAGGAAATTTTGCTTGTAGTTCTTACTGTGTACTAACTTCCTATATTCCAGGCCAAATGTAAAGAGCTGCCTTAGATTTGGAAGGATCACCTGAGGTTTTAGAGCCATGGTGAATTTGTCACTTGATTAAGGGGCCCAAGCCCAGGGAAGTCAATTAAGAACTATTTGAAGAGACATCTCTGGAAACTATAAGGAAAAAAGTGAAGTAAGAAATCAGAGTGATGTAAACTAAGCTATTATGGTAGAGTATAAACTTGAATCTGGCTTTGAAGGCTGAGGTTTAGACATGAGTGAAGATGAAGGATCCAGGAGTAAGCGAGAAATATGTGACTGTATTGGCTCAACAATGGGGCTCCGGAGCTCCTGTGCAGGACATGATGGCCAGGATGTGTTCAAAGAAAGGGGAAGGAGGAGGCATCTTAGGAGCTTTTGGAAGTCAGAGGGAAAGGTCTGGTCTTATAACTTGGGAGAGGCAAAAACACAAATATTACATTTGTTTAATATAAATTGTGGTTATGTGCCCCACCTTCCTTCAAAGTGGGGACTGTGATCACCAAGGCAGGGTGGCACCTCTGACATAGAGGGCTTGGGCTGAGTGTTGCTCAGTAACCACGCAACAGTCTTTCTCACCAAGGTGATTGCATGTTGAATTTTTCCAGGATTAAATCAGTTCTCAATTATTAGAGACCCTGGGAGTCAGGAATGATCTGTACCCTCACCATACCCCTTATTCTCCAACTGTCTTTGAATCACTCCTTCATTCCCTTCAGTTTTGGGAACCTGAACTTCTGCATAGTGTGGCACCCAGCAGACCCCAGTTTGGTGACCTGAAGACCTCCCAACTTTGGTGGGTACCTGCTATATATCTAGCACTGTGAAACATGCCAAATACAGGACACACTTTTATAGAATATTAAGTTTATAAATACTATGAAGTTAGGAAGATCATAATTCAATCTCAGCTTGGCAGAAGTGGGAAAATTAGGGCTGGGGATTTATCTCAGTGGTTACACACCTGCCTCACAAGCGCGAGGACCTGAGCTCAATCCCTGGTACGAAAAAAAAAAGAAGTAGGGAAATTACTTAAGTCACCTCTAACAAAAGAGAACTGGCAGTGTCTGTTTCTGGAAAAGGCTGTGGCCACCAGTTGTGACCACCAAAGAACAGAGGAGAAGTAGTCAGGACAAGGCAGGTACCTGGCTTACCTGGTAAACACTTTACAGAACTGTAGAAATAACTTATAGGCCACTCACTCTGTCTGCTTGATAAGTGTATCTTTTTTCCCCTATGGTTTAATTTTTGTGACGAGATGCTCCAGTTACATGGTTCAAAGTTCAAGGCATACAAATGGATTTGAAATCTCCTCCCTCCCCTTCCTTGGCCTTAGCTTCCTTCTTCCCTTAAGGCAGCCAGTTACCATCAGCATATATATATATGTATGTATTTTGTTGTTATTTTGTCTTTTTGAGACAGGGTTTCACTATGTAGTTCAGACTTGCCTTGAAGTCACAGTACCCCAGGCTGACCTCAAACTTGTGACTATCCACCTGCCTCAGTCTGCTGAGTGCTGAGATTACAGGCATATGCACCCTGTGCAGAATTTTTTTAAACTTAAAATGAATCATTCCAGTCTATATATTGCTTAATAGGATGCAATATATAAGCTGTTTGGTAAGAGGATGTTTTGTTTTGTGGTACCTGGGTATTGAACTCAGGGCCCTGTCCATGGTAGGCATGTGCTGTGATGCTGACCTATATCCTAGCCCTTTTCATTTTCGATTTTGAGACAGGGTCTGGCTAAGTGGCCCAGGCTGGCCTTGAATTTGTGATCCTCCTGCCTCAGCCTCAGAGTAGCTGAGATTACATGTGTGTAATCCAACTAGGATTACCTGTGTAATTGTATGTGTGCCAGGCTTGTGGGGTAGTTATTTAATGGCTGCATTGTATTCCATTGAGCAGATGACTGACTAATCTTTAAGCACCCAGTCCCTTATGATGAGCATTGGATTATTTGCAACTTTTGGAGAGCCTGTTTGTATCCTGTGTTGATACGGTTTTTATACATGTTTTCACCATCCTGACAGGATACCTATCTGTGTGGGATGCTCTGCTTCCCTTCTTGCAGCCTAGCATACTTGAGTAAAGTTTTCGGGGATCCAGGGATCTCAGTTCAGGGGAGTCTACCAACAGACATTAAACTACCAACAGACATTAAAATGGCTGGCACAGCAACATCAGTGAAAAGGTACTGGTGTCTGGTAGCATTTAAGCATGATATGTTTAGCCATCTGGCTGGAAAATCTTCCTTATGGGCCCATTCAGTGTTTTTCCCTTACTTGACTGTCACCAAAGCACACTGAGTGTTCAGTTCAGAAAAGTGGGAGAGACCTGGGGAGGTACCTCAGTGCTAGGTACCTAGCATGTGCAAGATCCTATGTCAATCCCCAATATTGTTAAAAAACAAAAGTGGTGGGGACAAGAGCACCTGTCCTAGCTCAGGAGCTGTGGCCATTGAAGTAATCTACTCAGGATATTCTTGTGATTTAGACATATTGCCACAGAGTGATATCCTCATTTTCTAGAAAGCTGGTCTAGAGCAACCCACTCCTAATGTACCAGATTTCTTAACGAAAGTTGATAGATACTTGGGAGGCCAAGGCAGGAAGGTTACAATTGCAGGGTCAAGGCCAGCCTGGGCAACTCAACAAAATAAAATTTTAAAATAGCTGAGATTGTAGCTTAGTGGTAGAGTGCTTAGCTAGCATCCATGAGGCCCTGAGTTTAATCCCCGATACCACCAAAAAAAGAAAAAAGGAAAAGCTGATAGGAGAAAGACAGCTGCTAGATTAAGAAACTAGATTAAGTCAACTCGCACCCTTCTCAGCAAAATGTCCTCTTTTTATGCTGTGTGTGAGGGCAGGGGGCTCCTGTCAGTCAGCCATGACTGATTTTAGTCTTAGAAATCAAGCTGGGGCTGGGGATTTAGCTCAGTGGTTCTGCCGCCTGCCTTGCGAGCATAAGGCCCTGTGAGTTTGATCCCCCGGTACCTGCCCCCCCCAAAAAAGAAATCAAACTAATACTGTGTGACCCAAGGACCCTACCAAAACTTACAGTGTTTATATAAATTCTCTGGCCCAGCATAAGCACTCTGTCAAGTCAATAGAGATGCCCTTAACAGGCAGGATATTCCAAGGGCAAGGAACCGGGCAAGAGCCAGATTTGAGGTGGAAAGGGTGGAAAACCAAGACCTACTGAGTTAGTCCTTTACTCAGCCCCAGGTTAGCCTGTACCCATAGAGTGAATGACACTGGCATCACCATCTTTGCCCTCATTGATGTTTTTGTGATACTGGGGACAACCCGGGGAGCATTGACGTATAGCCCCACCCCCACCCCTTTTTAGGACAAGGTCTTGCTAAATTCCCAAGCTAGCCTCACATTTCTAATCCTACTGCCTCCCGAGTAGCTGAGATTACTGGCGTGTGCCACCGTGCCCAGCTTGTTTGTTTTTTGTAGTGCTGGGAATCAAACCCAGTTCCTCACACATGGTAGGCAAGTGTTCTGCCACTGAGCTACAACCCCAGCCTTCCGTGGTTTTGTTATGCAACCTAAGACCCAGTTTGAGTTTGAATCCACTCCATGCCACAGCTACTACACTCAGACTAGGCCCCAGGCTTGTGCATGTACCATATGTGTTCAGGTGGCCCACCAGTGCTTGTGTATGTGCATGCTCCCTTTAGAGGAGAGAGACGTAACAAAAATAAATCTCAGATTTCTAGATACTGATGCCAGATTAACATCTATCTGCTTACCAATTAGTACCTATTTAATTACGAGCTCAGAATGAGAACTTTAGAACCCAGGGAATGAGGAATCCCATCTGATCGTACAGTGTGGATGCCTAGGCTGTAAGCTCTGGTTGGGATCTGGTTGTCACTGCCCTTGGAAAGTCTTAGCATCATCTCCTCAGTGTTCCCTACTGAGGCCTGCACTCACGGATCCCCACCCACTCCCCTTCTGTGCTCACCACGAAGTTCCACTTCCCCTCTAGGTTCCTGCAGCTGCCTCGGCCTGTTCAAGACACATGCTGCTTACTCTACCCCATTCCCTTGCCCCATACCCACCCTTTGGACTCCTGACTTCTCAACCTTCAGTCTGTCCCCTGACCTTTTCAGGGACCCTCTCTGATACACAGCTCCCCTTAAACCAGGCTAGGAATCCTTGCCCAGGGCCTCACCCTGGCTAAGGAACAACCATGTGTGTGTGTAGGATGGCTTTCTTTCCTGTCACCCCTATGAGACTCTTAAGTTCAATGAAGCAAAGATCCATCTGCCTTCCTCAATTCTCAGTACCCATGTTGTCGCTTTAAAAATCAGATTGAACTTCATTTTGTCCTCCACTAGACTGCAACCACCATCAGCACAGAGCTTTGGGGTTGTTTAGTTCACCCCTGAATCATTAGCACCTGGAAGAGTAGCTGGCTCAGAATATGTGCTCAGTAACATCTGTGGGTGGGGATCTTTTAGCACCTACTCTGCTGTGTTTTGGTTTTGTTTGTTTGCAGTACTGGAAATTGAACCCAGAGCCTTCACACTGAGCTACGCCTCTAGCCCTTTTTTTATTTGGAGACACGTTCTCACTAAGTTACTAAATTGCCCAGGCCAGGCTTGAACTTGGGCTCCTCCTGTCTCAGCCTCCCATAGGGCTCTGTGGTGTTTTTAAAAGAGCATTCTAGGGCCGGGGATTTAGCTCAGTGGTTCCACCACCTGCCTTGCAAGCTAAGGACCCGAGTTCGATCCCCGGTACCAAAAAAAAAGAGCATTCTATGGGCAAGGATCCCATGGTTCCTTCAGTTCCTCACAGTGACCTTCAACACAAACCATCTAGGCAAGTATCACCTTATTTCAGACAACCTGTGCCCTTGCAGGGTCTTTATCTACCTATTTTCTGTTTCCCCTTGCTCTCATTGACAAAAAACCACAGCCAAAGAGTATTTAAGAATCTGGAAATCAAATCTTTCTCTTTCTCTCTCTCCCGCGCTCTCCC